TCTTTCTTATCGACAATTGTTAAGTCTGGGGTGTTATGTTGCAGGTGCTTGTCTGTTTGAATTCTGAAGTCCCAGAGCAGTTTAATTTTATCATTTTCTATGACTTTCTCTATTTTATGATCCCACCAGTTCTTGCTTACAGGCAAATGATATTTCTTGCAGATCTTCCAATGCACCATTGTTGCTACTTTGTCATGCCTGCTGCTGCTGCTGCTGCTGCTGCTGCTTATTATTATTATTATTATTATTATTATTATTATTATTATTATTATTATTATTATTATTATTATTATTATTATTATTATTATTATTATTATTATTATAAGCAGCTTTATGCATTCAAAGCAGGGGTGTCAAACTCAATGTCATTGAGGGCCGCATCAGCATTGCGGTTGCTCTGGGGGCGGGTGTATGTGTGTGGCCTACTGGGTGGACATGGATGGAATGAGTGTGGCCTACTAGGTGGACGTGGCCAGCTCTACATCGTTCACGTCAAGGGGGCCTGTGGGGGCCTGGGCAGGAGTGGGACAGATCTGAGGGTCTCTGACAGAAGGGGGTGGGACCAGGGCAGAGCCCATCAAGCCGGATAGGTGAAGTAGGCGAGGGCCATTTGCTGGCCACTTCCAGGCGATGGTCCATTTCTTCATTCCTCACAAAGGGTGACCCCTCCCCAGCATGCACCCAGGGGACGGGGCCGACGCGGCAGGGGCTGGTTCCTCGCTGTTTCCAGACGGCCTTGTGGAGCTAAGACTGAATGCCTTTCAGCATAGATGGCCACCACAAAATTGTACATGGGCTCCCGGCCGGCCTGGGCCAGGGCCAAGGCAGCGTGGGCCGTTCCCTCACTGTTTCCAGGATGGCTTCACAGGCCACATGAAACTGTTTCGCGGGCCGCATCCGGCCCCCGGGGCCTTGTGTTTGACATGTCTGATTCAAAGTCTTCTGCATTTGCTTCGGTTGCTAATTGAAGACTTGAGCCAAAAACAGGGTGTGCGTTGCCTGACAAAGAAAAAAAAAGCTGCATAAAACATGAAGGGGAGGTGGTTGTTATGGTTAAAGTTACCTGGCCAGCTTGTGCAGCTACCACAATGTGGAATCCTATTTCTTATTACCTTATGGACATCTCTGATGTCACCTCCTCCCCTGCTCCCTTACTCTCAATCTATAAAAAACTTCCATGCAAGGGATTGTTAAGCTGCTCAGATGTCCACAGGAGGTGTTGATTGCTTCAAAGATTAAGAAGGAGCCTCTCCACAGTGCAAAGACTAAACAAAGCCTTGTTTTAAGGAATTAAGGTAATGTTAAAAATCCACGGAGGTCAGCACACAAAGAACTGTGGTTTCGTATCTCCAGGTCCATTATGACTGTGGGGGGGGAGGCTAAAGGATTATTTCCTGCCAAACAGCTTGGGTCACCCAGCACACAGGACTGGCTGTCTAAGAAACAGAAAAGGACATTTTTTCTCGAGTCAAGTGATCAGTCCCTTGACAACTTGTGTGTAATGAAAGCAGGAAGCAAGCCCACTTATACTCCAACGACCCTCTCATTTCCTCCTTTTTTTTTCAGAAGGAATTGTGCGTAAGACCGCAGGGGTTTTCAGGACTGTGCTTTTGATAACTAAGCACACACTGAATTTCAAGAAGAGGCAAATTTGACTGATCCGAATGCTATTCTGTTTTTGCCAGAATTGTTCCAGGTGATCGGTTGCCGTAGGTCCCTTCTTCAAGTTCTTAAATTATAGAGCTAAGGTTCTCCTTACATCTTTTAAATTTTAAAGCTTTTATTGATTCCCCCCCACCCATACAATTCAATAGTACTTATTCAACAAACGTGTTGTCTGAGTTTAATCATTCACTAATACACATTTAATTTCTAATCTTTTATTCTTTTCTCCAGCCATTGATCAAATAAGTCCCAAGTTTGAGTATTTTGTTTCTTCTTTTTCTTTCTTTCTTTCTTTCTTTCTTTCTTTCTTTCTTTCTTTCTTTCTTTCTTTCTTTCTTTCTTTCTTTCTTTCTTTCTTCCTTCCTTCCTTCCTTCCTTCCTTCCTTCCTTCTTTCTTTCTTTCCTTCCTTCCTTCTTTCTTTCTTTCTTTCTTTCTTTCTTTCTTTCTTTCTTTCTTTCCTTCCTTCCTTCCTTCCTTCCTTCCTTCCTTCCTTCCTTCCTTCCTTCCTTCCTTCTTTCTTTCTTTCTCTTTCTTTCTTTCTTTCTTTCTTTCTTTTATTAATTTTTATTACCATTTTCCTTTATACAACTCTTAATACATATTCAGCAGACTGTGTCATTTTTATATACTTCGGATCAACATTCTATACAATACATACACTATATACATTCAGTATCTAACTCACAATAACCTTAGGTATATTTCCAATTTTTGTTTCTATTATCTATCCATGTATACCATTTTTCCCAAAGCACGTAAAATTCTGAGTCATCTTTTTCTTTTAATTCTAAAGTGAGTTAATTCATTAATTCTTCCTCTGGTGGTATTTCTTCATTTTCCCAATATTGTGCAAATAGGATTCTTGCCGCTGTTGTCACATGTAAAATCAAGTATATACTTTGTTTATCAATGTTTTCTGGCATCATTATACCTAGTAAAAAAAAAATACAGGTTTAAAATCTACATGCTTTCCCAATATTTTTTCTACCCAAGTATGTATTTTTGACCAGTACCTCTTTGCTTTAAAACACGTCCACCATTACACGATAATAAATACCTGACTTATGTTTGCATTTCCAACATCTATCTGACATATTTTTAAACATTTTTGCTCATCTTGCTGGTGGCCAAGTGCCATCTATGAAACGTTTTATGTAGGTTTAATTTATAAGAAGTTGACATTGTCAATTTATAATTTCTTTCCCACACGTTTTGCCATTTTTCTAAATCGATGTTATATCCAAAATTTCTTGCCCATGTTATCATCGTTTCTTTAACTTGTTCATTTTCCATTTTCAAATTCAATTAAAAGTTATACATTTTTTAAATTAGTTTTTCATCAGAGGTTAATAACGTCTGATCAAACAAGGTCTGCTCTTTATAAAATCCGTACAGTTTAACATCTTTATCATATCTAACATGCATTTGTAAGTATGAGAGATCCATACCCTGATTTTCTCCTTACATGTTGAGATAAGCTTCTCTGGATATGATTAAGCTGATGAATGACATTACACAGAGCTTTATGTTTTAGATGGAGCTCTAAACTTTAAAAGTTTGAGAGGTCACATGTTGGACTTAAGGTGCTTATAGTGTAAAATTCAGTGCAGGAGAAACCACCAGGAAGGGAGGGAATTAATGGCACGATAAACAACAATGGCATATAAAATTGGTTCAACGGATTGAGTTTATGGCTCTCTACCATAAACCTTTAGATACCTTTATCTGTCTGTTTTTCCCTCCCCCATTGTTAGTCACGTATGGGACAGGCTAAGAAGAAGAAAAGCTGGCGACTCCCAATCTATAAAAGATTTTATCCAGTTGCTTGGAAACTGGGTGAATGGTTAATTGCAAATGCATGTTTGCCACTATATATATATATATTTATTGTCTTCAGATCTCCTTGTATTTTCTTTGGATGTTCAATGTTAAACGAAGGAATAACCAGAAAGTTCAGTGGAATAGAATAGAATAGAATAGAATAGAATAGAATAGGAGAGGAGAGGAGAGGAGAGGAGAGGAGAGAGAATGGAATGAAATAGGGTGTAGTATAGTATAGTATAGTATAGTATAGTATAGTATAGTAGAGTAGAGTAGAGTAGAGTAGAGTAGAGTAGAGTAGAGTAGAGTAGAGTAGAGTAAAGAGAAGAGGAGAAGAGAGGGGAATGGAATGGAATAGAGGAGAGAAGAGAAGAGAAGAGAAGAGAGAATGGAATGAAATAGGGTATAGTAGAGTAGAGTAGAGTAGAGTAGAGTAGAGTAGAGTAAAGAGAAGAGAATGGAATGGAATAGAAAAGAGAAGAGAAGAGAAGAGAAGAGAAGAGAGAATGGAATGAAATAGGGTATAGTAGAGTAGAGTAGAGTAGAGTAAAGAGAAGAGAATGGAATGGAATGGAATAGAGAAGAGAAGAGAAGAGAAGAGAATGGAATGGAATATAGAATAGAATAGAATAGAATAGAATAGAATAGAATAGAATAATTGAGTTGGAAAGGACCTCAGAGGTCTTCTAGTCCATCCCTGTGCTTAAGCAGGAGATCCTATACCATTTCAGGCAAGTGGCTGCCCAGTCTCTTCTTAAAAACTTCCATTGTTGGGGCACCCACAACTTCTAAAGGCAAGCTATTCCATTGGTTAATTGCTCTCACCATTAGGAAAATTCTCCTTAGTTCTAGGTTGCTTCTCTCCTTGGTTAGTTTCCATCCATTATTTCCTGTCTTGGCTTTTGGTGCTTTGGAAAATAGTAGGACCTCCTCATCTTGATAAGAGCTTCTTCCAGCAAAGAGATGAAAGACCAGATTTTTGTTTACTTGACAATAGTTTCCTTGACCTTTTAAGACAGGGATCTTCAAACTTGGCCCTTTTATGACTTGTGGACTTCAACTCCCAGAATTCCTCCGCCAGGCACGCTGGCTGAGGAATTCTGGGAGTTGAAGTCCACAAGTCATAAAAGGGCCAAAGTCTGAAGACCTCCGATTTAAGATCATGGAAGGACTTGGGTTCTTTACGAGTACGAGGACAAATGCTGATTCTGGAATATTAAAACCAATTTTAATATATTGCCCTCTTTCCCTCTGTATTGTAGGGTTGAAAAGCCTGTGGGATTTATCTGCACACTTGCTCTTTATGGAAGACATTTTATTCGATGTAGGAGAGGAGTTTTGTCCGGCTTTTCAAATACGACCCTATGGGATGATGCTTCTTTGGGATTCCGATAGAAAAACCCACCCATGAAGTTGCCATTATGACATTCAGGGAGAGTGACACAGATATCGGAGCCTTTTTAATAAGCATCAACTTGGGACAGTATCGTGCAAACTTTAAAGACTTCGGCTACCACACTGTGCAAGAGTGCTTGGGCATAAATGACCGCGTCCTTCAAAACGTTGGAATATCCCCTACGGGCCACCGTAGACGAATCCTCAAGCAGTTGGAGGCCGTGTTGACAAGAATGCCGGAAACGGCTACCTCGGATCAAAGCGGCTCTCCCAGGCATCTCCTCCATCCCAAACAGGTGAACGAAGCAGGTGGCGGGCCATCTGATGGACACAGCAACACAGCTTGTGGCAGCAACTGTGAAAGAAACCCACACTACACATCCCATGTCTTGTTGGGAAACAGAGACAGTAGTCCAGTTTTGGATCTGGACTCCTCTGACACGTTTGGTCCGAACCTGTTGGCAGATCCCACCACGGTTCCACGAAGTTCACTGAAAAACGTGACGTCGGAGAAGAAACCTTGCATGGAGGATCATCCGAAGACAGGGGAACCAGAAACGTCGGCGTTTCAAGTTAACGCCGCTCCCGAAGATGGATCTCTGTCTTCTGCTTTCTCTCCTGCTGAGGAGAAAAGCAGCCAGGTGGAGCTCTTATCAGGCTTCAGAAGTTTGCTGCAGGAGACGCCGTTCTTTGAGTTCAAAGGTGAAATGGTGCAAAACGATTTGTACGACACTTGCGCCCAAAGTCCATCAAGAGTGGGCCCCAGGCCAACGCGATCTTTTATGCTTCGGCACCGTCCTGTTCCAAAAATCCCAGGGCTTTCCTCGCTGGCAACTTCGAACAGGTAAACGTTAAAACGTCGATAAATGTTAAGCTTGCAATAGTGGCGAATATCTGTCAGTTATCTGTCAGTTGAATGCTAAGTTGTGCCTGGCATTTTTGAGTGTTGGATACATTTCACTTGTAGCGTTTCCAAAAGATGCAGCCCACCATTTCAAAAATAAATTTTGTAGACTGAGGGAGGGGCTGGACTCAAAAATGGGTTTGGGCTAAAAGGAAAAGTGGGCAGCCTATAACTAGAAAGGTAGAAAGATCGACAAATAAACCATGTTTATGATGTTTCTGAAAAAGTCGTCTTCAGACCAGGATTGGATGACAGCCAGCCCCGAAAATGCTCAAATCTTCTGAGGGCTGTTACCAAGCTAATTACAATCTCTCAGGATACAACCTGGCATCCAAACAATTAGATTATTAAGATTACACGTAGCTACTTCGAATTACGGCCATAATTGAGCCCAAAATTTCTGCCACTAAGCGAGACTGTAGCTAAGCGAGTTTTGCCTTGTTTTATGACTTTTCTTGTCCCAGTTGTTAAGTTCATCGCTTGTTCAGTTGTTCAGCTAGTAAGACGGTTGTTAAGTGACTTCCCCATGGACTTTGCTTGTCAGAAGTCGCAAAAGGGGATCACGTGCCCCCGGGATACACTGCAACCGTCATAAATATGAGTCAGTTGCCAAGCTGACAACTTAATTTTGTCTGAATTTGTCTGAATTTTTTTTTAAAAATATGTTTTATTGATTTTTAACATAATCCCTCCTGTAGGGATGTAGCTGAAAATAGTTCATAATAAGAATAAATGCAGATTTGGAACACCCGAGAAGTACACAATAAACTAGATTATCATATGTTCTGTAAGAAGGTACAAGAGAAGCTATTTCCAAAATTGTAAGCTATTTCAAAATATTGCGCTGGTTCGGCTGGAGTTACGCGTCAGCATTAGGATCTGAAGGACGAAATATTTTCAGGATCTGCAGTTGGTCCTTGACTTATAACCACTTGTTTATTGACTGTTCCAAGTGACCGCGGGACTGAAAAAAGTGATTTATGACCGTTTTAGCACCCCCAGGGTTGCGTGATCAAAATCTGCACACTTGGCAACTGAGTCATATTTATGACAGTTGCAGGGACTGGGTTGTGATCCCTTTCGTGGAACTTCTGACAAGCAAAGTCAGTGGGGAAGCCAAATTCATTTAACAACCGTGTTGCTCACTTAACAATCGCAAGGATTCGCTTAACAACGCCCGACTTAAGAAAGTCGTATAAATGGGACCAAACTCACCTAACCATCGTCTCACTTAGCAATGGAAATGTTGAGCTCAATCGTGGTCATATGTTGAGGATTACCTGTATAGTCTAGCTCAGGGGTCTTCAAACGTGGCCCTTTTATGACTTGTGGACTTCAACTCCCAGAATTCCTCAGCCAACGTGTCTGGCTGAGGAATTCTGGGAGTTGAAGTCCACAAGTCATAAAAGGGCCACGTTTGAAGACCCCTGGTCTAGTTCTAGCTGGGTCTTACTCAAGGAAGAGATGCCTACCAAACATGTGGTTTGAACCATCCACAATTCTGCAAGCCACGTGGGAATTCTGGAACACAAGAGGAAAAAGTGACTCAGGCATTCTAGGAAAGCTGAGGGTAGGATCAGGTTCGGCAAGTTGTGGAACGACTTCATCACGATGTGGGTTACGTTCAGCGAAATGAAGCTGAAGCACACGGGGTTGGGAAACCGTAGCTGGGAAGGCAATAGAGAGGTGGAGAGGAAGAATCAGGGCTTGGGGGAAATTAGGGAAATGATTGTCCCAAAAGGTGCTTTTTTTCAGGAGGCAACTGGACTTTCTGGTTTTCCTTTGAAGAGGTTTCGCTTCTCATCCCAGAAGCTTCTTCAGCTGGGACTGGGATGGTGGGGAAAGGAAGGATTTATACTCCTTGCAGACAGCTGGTCGTTTGGCTTCTTTCAGAGAGTCGTTGAGGCCACTTGGAGGTTTTATCTGTGTCATCGTTCTTCAAAGAAAAACCAGAAAGTCCACTGGCCTCTTGAAAAAGCACCTTTGGGACAATCATGACCTGGATGACTAAGGATCTCCATAGACATTTTGGGAAATGATTGAAGTCTGGGAAAAGGGCGCTTTGTCAGTCAACAGGAGTGACTTATCAAGTTCTTAGGAGTCAAGGGTTTGGCAGCCCAAGGAAACAACAGCCAGTTGCAAGCCATCAATGCACCAATCGACCAATAGAACATAGAATAATAGAGTTGGAGGTCTTCTAGTCCAACCCCCTGCTCCAGTAGGGACCCTATACCATTTCAGATAACTAGTTGTCCAGTCTTTTTTTTTTTTAAAGCCTCCAGTGATGGAGCACCCACAACTTCTGATGGCAAGCTATTCCATTGATTGTTCTCACCATTAGATTTTTCTTTATGTACTTGGACAGTGGTGGCGAACCTTTTAGAGACTGAGTGCCCAAACTGCAACCCAAAACCCACTTATTTAACGCCAGGTGTCAGGTGGGTGGGCGTGGCTGTGGTGGTCATGGCAGATTGGGTGGGTGTGGCCAAGGTGGCCATGGTCATCTCAATGTTGCTCGTGGGGAGGGACGCCTGTGGGGGCTGGGCAGGGCTGGGGGAGATCCAGGGGGTCTCTGGCAGGTGGGGCGGTGGGCAGGAGGCTCGTCCTGCGGGGAGAGGTGAGGCTAGGCGAGGCAGGGCGGAGCTGCCATTGTCGCAGGGCAAGGTGAGGCAGGGCCAGGGCGGCTGCTGCCTGACACCATCAGCCTCTGCACACAGAGGCCAGCGAGTGCATGGATGCTGAGATGCATCCGGCCATGTGGGACCTTGGCGAGTTAGCGGGAGGCTGGTTGAAGAGGGATGGTTGCCATCTCCGGGGCATGGCGCGTGTGCCCACAGAGAGGGCTCTGAGTGCCACCTCTGGCACACGTGCCGTAGGTTCGCCACCACTGTACTTGGATGTTTTCCATCTGTCCTATTACCTGCCCAGGGCTTCTAAAGATGCAGGAAATCTCTGCAGAAAGAGATCTTTTGAAAACACAATTTACTTCTTTTTAGTTCTTTCCATGAGCAGAAAGAGAAAACAGAAACATTCTGTCCTCTCAGAATTCTGGGAAAGCAGCTTTTTTTAGCATGTACTTTCAAGGCCTCAACCACCAAAAGAGAAGCTCCAATGAAAATGTGTTCCTCTCACTGTCTATTTGATTATTCATTTATTAAGAGCCATTGGTTGATTGCTCTCACCGTAAGGAAATTTCTCCTTAGTTCTAGGTTGCTTCTCTCCTTGGTTTAGTTTCCAACCATTGGTTTCAGTAGGAAGGCACCACATAAATACGACTCATAGAAGAGCCCCAAGCATATATTCCAGTAGAGAGAAGTTCCCTGTGGATGGGCTCCAGCATGAATCCGAAAGCTCGGAAGGGTAAACCTTTGGTCCTGGTGACCGACCCAGATTGGATCTTGCAAGTCAAGTTTTGTTCACATTGCCCTGATTTTGGAGCATTCGGGAACTAATAAGGAAGCCGCTCCAACTAAATGAAATAGGACGGTTACATCCTTCTGTTGAGTATTGGGTGTTTTTGATTATGCAGATTGGTCCCAAAGGTGCTTTTTTCAGGAGGCAACTGGACTGTCTTGTTTTTCTTTGAAAATGTTTCACTTCTCATCCTAGAAGCTTCTTCAGCTCTGACTGGGTGGTGGGGAATGGGAGGATTTATACTCCTTGCAGACAGCTGGTCATTTGCATTCTTTAAGAGAGTCGTTGAGGCCACTTGGAGGCTTATCTGTGTCCTCAGGGTCACCTGAGTGGTGCAAATGGGTGTGGAGCCTTCTTGGCTGCAGGATGTTTTCTGCCCTGTGTCTCTTCACTGTTGGAGACAGGCGCAGACTGTTGGGGATGAGTCTGTGTTGTCTGCATCTCAAACTGAAGCGCAAATGATTCCTGGAGTCTGCAATGTTTTCTGGAAATCCGTTCATAATCCTGCACCATTTGAAGGATGTTTTTGAAGGGAACATTTTCTATGAAGCACATTGTCTATGGAGATTTTCCGTCATCCAGGTCATGGCTGTCCCAAATGTGCTTTTTAAAGAGGCAACTGGACTTTCTTGTTTTTCTTTGAAGATGTTTCGCTTCTCTTCCAAGAAGCTTCTTCAGCTCTGCACGTAGATAAATGTCTACGGAGATTCTCAGTCATCCAGGTCATGGTTGACCCAAAGAAGCTTTTTTCAGGAGGCAACTGGACTTTCTTGGGTTTTTTTGAAGACGTTTCGCTTCTCTTCCAAGAAGCTTCTTCAGCTCTGCACATAGATAAATGTCTACGGAGATTCTCAGTCATCCAGGTCAGGGTTGACCCAAAGGAGCTTTTTCAAGAGACAACTGGACTTTCTGGTTCTTCCCAAAGCACCTTTTGGGACAACCCTGACCTGGATGACTGAGAATCTCCATAGACGATTATGCAGATTGCAAAACTTGGGCTCTGGAAGCCAAGTCAGAGCTAGTCAATCACCACCCCCTCCTTCTCCCTCTCTTCTCCCTCCTCCTCCTCCTCCTCCTCCTCCTCCTCCTCCCCATTGCCCTATTTCCTCTTTTCAATAGAGAAAAGTAAGGGGAAATTTTGAAAAAAGAGAAAACGGATAAGTCAGATCCGTTTCTCAATGTTTTGATCTTGTCTCGGGAAAGATTTTTGAGTTTTACATGATTTCAGTGGTGTGTTTGTGTGTGTGTGTTTCTTTTCTGATGAGTTGGATGGAATGTAATTTATTTAGATTCACTTTTCATAAAGGCAATGAACCGCCCTTTTCTAATATGAGAAGTCTGGTTGAGACAACACTATGACGTTTTGCCTGAGTGAAGAAATAGA